ACTGATAGCTTGTAGTGAATAAATTGATTGTTTGTATTTGTATTGTGTTTAAAAAACAGTAAAGAAATTTATAAAACAATCTTTTCACTCAAATTTTCTTTTAGATAAAGGCTGTTCAATGTCTGAAGGAGTTTTATTACTGAAAGTACTTAATTCTGTTAGTTTGTTGTCATTATTTTCTTCGTACCTTACCCGTTTCAAACTTGTTAAATCTTCTTGTATAAAAATAAAAGAGTTTTCAGGTTCAAATGGGTCATTGTCAATGATATTAGATTTTATTTCAGTTTCCTCATGAAAATCATCCTTCCGCTGCACAGTAGATTGAGGTTCTTCAATTTTAATTTCGCTGATTGGTTGACTATCTAATTTTGACTCTTCCTCCCCACTCACTAATTCATTACTATCCTCATTTTCTTCATTTTGAGGATGAACTTTTTTCAAAATATCATCAACACACCACTTAGGTGATTTTTGTGGTGTCTGGAATTGTTTTATTTCAGGGATTGGTTCAAGGTCAAAAATATCTATTTCATTATTTTTGAATGGTTCAAGTGTATTGGGGTCAATCTTTCCTTCTGCAATTTGAATTACACTTCCTTGGTCTAATTTTTTACCAAGAGTTCTTTCAATTAATTCAGTAGTTTCATTGCCTTCAAAATCTGTTAATGGAATTATTGTTTTTTCTTCAATGTCATAAATGTATTGATGATTAAATGTAAAAAGAGCATCATTTAACTGTTCTTCAAGGTTATTTGGTAATTGTTTATTATAATTTTTTTTCAAGCTTAAAATGACTTGTTTGATTGTTTTGCAACTTCCAACTATTTTTAATGCCTTTTTTAATCCAATTCCATTAACTCCTTGAAAGTAATCACATCCTGATAATATACAAGTAATTTGAAGTTGGAATAATGTAATATTAATTCCAAATGGTGTTTTAGGTAAGTCTTGTGCTTGATACACATCACATGTATTTGATACAACATTTAATTTAAATAATACAACCGAACAACCATATGGAATCATATCACTGTCTTCACATATGACAACATCTACATAACCTGTTCTGGATAAATATGCCATCTGTGCGTCAGCCTCATAAGGTGCAACAATACATTGAACACCTCGTTTATGAAATGCATTAATCACTTTTGATGCATGGAATGGGGTGATATCTATTGCTTGTTTCCAACAGACTAATGCCTCAATTTGTTTTCCTTCTTTTTCATATTTCAAGGCATTTGAATAAGCAGACTTTCTTCGATTAAGACGTTCTTCTTCAACACCTTTTTTTGAAGGTAAAGTTGCACCATCAAAAACAAAGATTGGTATAATTTTGTGTGTATTAAAGAATTTAAGATATTCTAACATTCCATTTACAATGAAAGAATAGTCATTATTCAATACAATTTGTCTAGGATTTCTTGTTGCAATTCTATGAAGTAAAGCATAACCATCAATAGCAGCTTTTTTATTTTTAAATTTATCAATTGATGATTTATGGATGATGGACGAAACAAAAGGAAGGAGTTGTTTTATTCCCATTATGTAAAGAAGTGTTATATTATAAGATATTGACTGTTTACTTAGAAATGAAATCCTCAAATTCTAGTATAGTATAATTCTAATAAAACATAAACAAAAAGAAAAGCAATAAACTAAAAAAAAAACAAAAAAATAGAGATTTTATTGTGTTGAGAATGGTTTGTATCATTTGTGAAAAGAAGGAAGATATTTATTTAATATAGCACGGAATAACTAAAGCAGAAAAAATACAGATTGAAGCAGCAAAAGAAACACAAAATAAAATTAAAATATTCAATGAATTAAAAGAAAAATATAGAAATAAAGCAGGAAGTCTTGAAGAACAATTAAAACTTAATTCAGAATTACTTACTATTTCTTCACAGGATTATCAATATTGGAATGAAAGAAAAGAAATGATAGAAGAGTTACTGAAGAAAGAAGAGAATGAAAATGATAAGATTCTATCATCTGAATTGGAATTAACAATGAATCTTCTCCCAAAAAATTCCAAGTCATATGTCATTTGGTATCATAGAAAATGGAGTATTTCTAAAATGGAACATCCGAAATTTGAGATAGAAAGAGAATTATGTGCTAAAATGATTGGAAAAGATTCAAGAAATTGTTTGTTAATTTTATTGTAGATATAAAAGTAATAAAAAATAATAAAATAGTTCATTGTTGGGGATATTATTTATGGATTTTAGAACAAGGAAAAATAAGCCAAGAAGAAGACTTAAAATTTATTACAGATTCAATAAATAACAATTTCAGTAATTATAGTGCATGGCATCATCGTAGTGTTATCTTTAGTTCTTATAATAACTTACAATTAGAAAAAGTCATTGAGTCAGAATTTACATTATTGTTAAATGCCTTTTATATTGAACCAAATGATCAAAGTGCATGGATTTATTATAGATGGCTTCTTGGAACTGGAATGAAATGTTATAATGAATTAAATAAAAAAGAAGAATGGATGAATATTTTAAAAGAACAATTCAATAAAATCAAAGAATTAAATGAAATAGAACCAAATTCTAAATGGGTATTATTTACAATGGTTGAGTTATATCAAATTACTAAGAAAATTGATAGTACCATAGAATTATTAAGTAATGAAGAAGTAAAAGATTTTATAAAAACACTTCAAAGGGTTGATAGTATGAGAAGTGGATATTATAAAGAACTTGAGAAAGATTTGCTATTAATTCAGATTTAATTTAAAACTTAAATTTTCAAATAAATAAAAAGGATTTAATCAATCAAGATATAATTATTGTTTCCTTACAATTGGTTAACATTTGTTAAATTGTCATAAGATTGAAGAAATAATTGTAATCCTTTTCCTTCTTCATTTTTAATGAGAGATTTTTGAACTAATACTCTTATATTATTTATTTCATTCGTTCGTTCTTTCAATAATTTTCTTCCTTCAAAAGTTTTATTAAGCATCATTAAAAAGGTAATTCTTCCTTTAGTTGGTTTTTGAAGAGCTTCAATAATAAATTCTTTAAATCTTGAATGTTGTGAAATTAATAAAATGTCATACCCACTCAATGCTGCTAGAGACATAAAGAAACTTTCACTTGAAGTGTCATGTTCTTTCTTCATGTTTTCTTCTATCATTCCAAAGAATTCACCGTATCTACGAATTTCATCAGCAAATGGTTTATTCTTATTCATAAATAATGCTATTTTACAAATACAAAGATGTCTTGTTTTGTCAGACACTACATTTGATAATGCACATACTTTTAATATAGATTTAACAGCTAAAATTCCACTTTGTTTAATTGCTTCTTCTAATAATACTGGAATAAGATTTTCATGTTGGCTTTTATAACATTCAATAATTGCTGAAGGGAAAGGAGCATCTTTAAGTTGAATAAAATAAGATAGAACAAAGAAATAAAAAGGAGTTGAAATAAACTGAAGAAGATGATCTGGATTTGTAGAGAATAATGGGGAATGAATTAATTGTAATATTTGAATGAAATGGTGTTGGTATGGTGATTGTAAAAGATTGAGTAATAATGGATTTAACTCAATAATATTAATATCAGCAATGAAGAATTGAATTGGAAATTCATCTAAGCGTGATGTTATTAATTCTTTTCTGTCTAATCCAAATAAAGCATCAAGTAAAGGATGTTTATGAAGAGAAGATCCAAGTAAATGTTGAATGAATGAATAGATTATTTTAACTTCATTGTTTTTAAATATTGATTTTAAATATATTGATAATGGAATGATAGTCTTAGGGAGAGGAATATCTTCTGGATCAAAATGAAGAAGTAGATTAATAGTGTTATTGAATAATTCAGGATAAGGAAGTGTAAGAGCATTAACAATTGAAGGAATAGTTTGTTTAATATCTGATTGAAGATAATAAAATGCTGAATTTACTTTAGGTGAAAGACACATTACTTTCTCAATAAATATTAAATACTTTGAATAGTTTTTAATTGCTTGATTAGGTTCTTTGTTAATTTTATTTAATTCACATGGTGCATAATAACTAATCATGAAACTGTAATGAACAAAATATTCTTTTAAAATTATATTATGAAGAGATTCAAGAAGAGACAATACTTTTGGGTCATTTTTGTTAGTTTCAATGTATTGACAGATTGTTGAGTACATCTCAAACAGGGTTGCTTCAATTAATTCTTTTTCTTCTAAATTATTTTTATTAACAATAACATTACAATACCATGTGTTAATTTTATTTAATAAATCAAGGTTAATTGGATTATTAGACATACATTGTTTTATTATTTGTTGGATGGTGGTATGTAAATTCTCCATGACAATAAATTAATAGTTTTTTATTATACTTTTTAAATTTTTATTTATTACTCAGACAGCAATACTTATGAACTTAAAAAATTTCATTTACTTGAACCAAAATTTACTGGGATGATGATGCAAAATCCACATTATTCGGAAACATCAACTTATAAAGAAGATGAAGGTACAATAAACAGATTTGATTATATAAGAAATGAATGGAAGGAAGATGAGGTTATTAATCTAAATGGAAAAAGTATGAAAGGAGAAATAATATCACTAGGAGATACGAAAGATGGATATTGGATAGAAATAGGAGAAGGGGAAGATTATTATCTCATTTGGTTTAAACGAGAATTATTTTCATCAAAAGGAAGATTGTTTAATGTTCCATTTATGAAAATAGCTAAACCAAACATGAAAGTCATTATTAACAATATATTAGTAGAAGATTATGAAATTTCAAAAAATGAACAAATGAAAAAGTATTTAATTCTTCATCTTCAAAGCAATGATTCAAATAATACAAAATGGCTGTTTTATAATCAAGGAAGATATTTGCTTGAATATGAAACAAATGGAGAATTTAATCAAGGAAAGAAATACGTTTTGAATCAACAAGAATTAAAGTTTATTCAAAGTATTTATTATAATAAACCAAGTAAGGAAATTAATTTTATTACACAAGATACTAACAAATATCTTCGTCAAGAAGGAATGTTTTTTGAGATTATTGGTTATGTTATTGATACTATTCGTTTAGAAGAAAATAACACACCAATAACCAAAGTAGTAATGGTTACTGGGTTTAATCCATCTGAAATTAAAAATACTATTAATTCCATTAGTAAAACTAGTTGGGTTGGAATGAATTATTTAAAGAAGATTTGTCAAACAGTATCTTTTAAAATTAAAGGAAATAATATAAAACCAATGAAGGATAGATGGATAGCAATAAAAAATGTACGATTTAACAAATATTCATCATTTATAACACTTGATTTTGGACTGATAAAAAGACTTGAAATAACTGATTCAAAAGTTATTAATAAAATAAAAACAATGATAGAAGATGGATTTAAAAGTGATGATGAGACTGGAAAATTTATTGCAATGCAATTTATTTGTCAAAAAGAAATAAAAGAAAAAGTCTTAAAATCATTTGAGAATAATAAAAGAATTCAATGTATTATACAAAATAATGAAATTCAAAAAGAAAGTAGTTTAGATCATAAAGCAATTAAAGAAAAATCAACTGAAAAAGAAATAGAATATCTTCCAAGTTATGTTTGTAATGAAACAATTCAAAAACAATTTGAAGAAGAAGAAGAATGTTATATTTTTAATGGTAGTGAAGATGATTTAGTATGTAATGCAATACCTGGAAGATATTGTGATATTGATGATGAAGTCTTTAATCTACCAGAAGTCCAAGTTGATTATAAACACATTTCTGATCCTAATAACTTACAAATATCTGATAATGTTAATAAAGAGGTAGATGGGAGCATAACTACTTCAAATAATAATGATGAAATAGATGAAAATACAGAGGTTCAAAATCAAACAAATGTATTACCCAATTTAGTTATTACAAGATCAAAAAATAATAAAACAGATCAAATAGATCATGAAATAACCAGAAAACACATAGTATGTTCAAAGGAAGTTAATTTACCATTGTTAAAAAGAGTCATATAATTGATTTAATTGACTAAATCACTTTTATTTACATGTAAAATATTATAAATATAGCCATAATCAATGTTTGTTTATTTCTTTATTAATGTTTTTTGATTAATAACACTATCACTTATAGTATTGTTTATTTACTTTTAGTGAATTACTGGAATAAAACTTGATTTATGCAATAATACAATTCAATATACTTTAAGTTAAGACATTATT